GAATAAGAGGAAGACCTTAATGTAAGGTCCGCTGCGCATACAGCCTAGTACAACAATCTCGCTACGTAGCCTGTGTTAAGCGACATGTGCAATATCTGCACAGAGAGCTTATTTTGTGATATCGAATTACTCGATTTAACTGGTTAGGGGTCGTATCGCCGTGTATAGATTTCTCTAATAAACTGTTATTATCAGTGACCTGTGTTTCTTAATTGGTGGAGAGCGCCCTACACTGTAGGTACACACACCTACTTTATATGGCGCTCGCCGCCCTACCCCTCGTTCTCCCACTGTCCCTTGCTCGCCCTCCTTGCATTGTCTACCGTCCCAGCTATCTTCCCTGCCGCCTTCCTCAGTCTCCCATATTTCTCTCGCCGCAGCAGCTAATCTTATGAAGGTTTTCCACAACGGCACCTGCCCGGCCTAACACGATGCGCCGACGCAATTGCGCGAATATCTCCGCGAGCAGTACATCGTATTTTGCAGAAGATTATGCATTTTTAAAATGAAGAGAGTTATTCTACGGCATCGATTTGTGATGATCCATTCATCAGTTTACATATTTTAAAACATAGGAGGAAGACATTGCATCATGTTAGATCCCGCTGCTATACCAGCCAGTACAGCAATCTGGCCCGACGCTTAGTGTGTTAGCGCAACGCAATATACTTCACCAGAGGATTCATTTTTGTGATGAATATGGCATTTATATAATGGTTAGGGGGTATCGTCAGTATAAGATACCCTCACATAAACTTTTGATCAGCGTTAGACCTGGGTTGCTTATAATAGGAGAGCGCCCTAGCATGTAGCGGCTTACAAGAAATCTAATTTATGCTTCGGCGTCCTTCCCCTTTGCCTCTCCTGTCCCGTCGCTTGTGCTCCTTCTTCTTCTTCGCGGCCCAGCCTATCTTTTCTGCCGCCTTTCCTCAGTCTCTCATCCCTCTCTCCCTCAGCAAACTAAATTATAATTGTTTAGATGCCCTCAGACGGCGAACTGCCACGTTTAACAGGTGCGCGGCGCGCTGTGCAATATTCTCCTGAGAGAATCGTATTTGCAAAGATTACTGCATTAAATAAAGAGGATTATCCTAGCATAGATTTATATGACTAGATATTTATCAGTAGACATCATTTAGAAAGTAAGAAGCAAGGGCCGTTGCATGTAAGGTCACCTGCTGCGTTATGCAGGCGACAGATTATGCAGCATCCAATGTGTTGAGCCTCTAAGCCCCGGGGGCCTTGTACCCCGCTGGCGCATATACACCGTCCTGCAGGCTGCTGCAGCCTACTTTTCTTTGCTGGAGGCGGTATAGCTACACCAAGGCTTAGCACACACTACGATATATAGGAGCGCCCTTAGGCCCCCTTCATACACATATCAACTATATATGTGGCCCTTGTGGGCCGCCAGCATACCACTATAGTACAATACTATATTAGATGGGTCATTAGGCCACCGTCATATACAATATTTATTATGTGTCTTGGGCCGCCATCAATAAACTATTCTATTATGAGATAATAGCTAGTATAGTGTAGGCCCTTAGGCCCCGCCATACACATACTATATATGTGGCACTTGTCGGCCCATCATACATAATTCATGACCTATTATAATACTATTATAGGTGGCCTTACGGGCCGCCCTGCTTACAAATACTTATATATGGCGCCTTTGGGCCCCATCGTACACTATTCAGTATTATTTACACATTCTAATAGGTGGCTTATGGGCCCCGTCATATCAAATACTCTATATGTGGCATTGCGCGCCCCTAATACACTATTATTACAATTCCTATATAGGTAGGCCCTTAGGCCGCAGTGTCAATACAAATATAACGCCGGCCAAACACTTAGTAACGTGCTACTAATAACTTACGACCGTGCTGCAACGGGCGCGTTTGGTCTTGTCTTTTCCTGATTTATGCGTATATCTATGCCTATGGTCTAATACAATCTGCGATCTACGGGCCCTACCATAGGTAAACTTGTTATAGCTTAATAAATACTGTAAACAAAAAAGAACTATTTTCGGTCGAAGAAGGGTTATTGTCGGAGTGCAGCTGCACGGGGGCTTGGAGGCACCGACGAGGGCAGGTGGCCTTAAACCACCCACTTGGTGCTGGATAGTCTGTCGACTGCCTATGGACGTAATGCGGACTGCCAGAGTGGCGCGCCCCCTATTCTTACGGCTCTGCTTCGCCATGTCAGCAGCGTTTTAATCTGCAAGCTCAGGATATGTGCGGGGGGGGGAAAATTATGAGCGGCACGCCGCATATGTACACTATGCGATTACCATGTTTACGATTTACTGTACGATTTACCTGTACGATTTACATCATAGTGATATATTTATAGTTATTCCCGATGTCTTTGAGATTCACAGTTATGTCTTTCCTTCTTCCTACAATTTTTACTTATGTCTACACTAATGCTAAGCATGCTCTTAACCATTCTGGAGTTTCAACTGCTCTTTTGCCTTTCTTGTCCCCGCCCCCTCGGCAAAGCTCACGGTAACTGTATTTGCAAAATCGCACGCTTACTCACCTCCTGTTAATGATACAGTGATCCCCGACTTACGACAGGTCGCGGAAATACGAAATGTGCCCGGTTAAAGCGATAGTCCTCGATTAGTGTGGAACACATAACAAATTGATGAGAGGATTTCTTCTCAAAAACATGTTCGGTCTTGAAGCCGATCGTTCGAGCACCCGATGAAGCGCGGACTACATGCGAATTGCATTCCAGGAAAATCAAACCGAGACGCCTGTCCGCTAGCACCGCGTTACATGACACGGTGTGCACGCATTCGTGCGGTGCGTGTCGTGGTCCGTGTATCGTGTAATCTTGTGCTTTAGCCACCGGGCGTAGCATGAGGTATAGTGCTACTGAGAGGTAGTGCAGAGTCGCATCGGAGTTAAATGAAACATAAAATAAAACCGAACATCAATAATAACGAACGTCAATAACCCGTATAAATAATGTAATAAATAAATTTAAAACGAGGCCCCCCGTTCTAAATCATATCCCTACTACATCTTTCTTGAAAGTTCTTCTGAACACGTGATCATTCATCATTAATTGTTACTCACAATTCCCTCCCCCTCGCCCCAATTCAGGAATTGTCAGTGACGGGCCAGGAATGTTCTTGGCAGTGGCATTCGCAGGTTCCACTGATAACTATTGTATGTGTACGTATCAGTCGCCGTAAGATACGCACTTGGGCTCGCAAGCTTAGCACTTGACCTCGGCCAATCGACAAATATCTCGACATCAGGACGCCACTGTCGATAATCCGGACGCCACCGCGATCATCATGATTGATTAGATTATCGGCGCTGCGATGCGGTGCACGTCACGTGACGCCGAACGATGCCGTATTTCCGCGGGGACCGCAGCACTGTCGCTCTGTAGGACACACGAGTTCATTCGGATGACAATCGCGCACGCGGATGTCGCCACAGTGCACCGACGTATGCGGGCCCGTTGGCGAACGACCGACCTCTCGAAACATATTCCGCGTTCTCCCATTTATTTAGTCAGTTTTACGAATCGAACGCGAGCAAAAATCACCAATCAGTCCTCACTCAGAATGATCCTTCACGAACCGGATGTGCCACGCGGCGCGCGCCCGCGCGCGCAGCGGGGAGGGGGGAAGTAGAGGGGGGATGGGGGCCCGCACCGGAGCGGGGAGTCGAGAGGGAGCCTGGCGAGCTGTTCACACGCACGTATGTGCCGACGGTTTGATTCTCCGGTCATAATTATTAACGGCGAATGCTATAAATATTGACCGCGCGGTGCGGGAGGACCGATATGGACTTTTGATCGTTTAAAACTTTAGCGACGGACCCGACGCGAGCAACGGCGCACGCCCCTTCCGGTCCGCCGCCGCCCCCTAACCCCACCGCCGCGCTAGTGCCCCCGGAGCGCAGGCGCACAATACCGTCGGAATTACAGTTGCCCCCCGTATTGAACGACGTAATTCGAGCCCCGCCGTCAAACTCTGACGGCCAGAAATGATTTTTAATTTATGATGGGACTGCCTGACTGCTTTAATGGTGCTACCGTGATGTTTCATGAACTACCATCTTTGAACACGAACTTCTGATCGTGACCGGCCATTGCAGCATCTCGGCTCGAGATCGCGACAGAACTCTGCTCTCAAGAGATCGTTACAACGCCTTGAGGCAGCTGCTCGGCGCGCCACGTCTGCACAGTCCGAAAGGAGGCACGACGTTCCAATGCTATCCAGGCCGTCAGAGGCGTAGGAACGAGAGGGCATCGGGCTGGCCGAAGCTGTGATCGCAGGAACACCATGACCGAGGCCAGGAGGCGCGGAACGCGAGGAGCCGCCAGGAGGCGCTGCAACTCGGCGCTAATGTAGAGCAGCTGAACAGGCGGCTGGAGACGCGGCAGAAGCAGCAGCAGAGCAGCAAGCCGTCGGCGAGCACCAGCACCAACGATAGGACCAGGTAGGGTCATAATAAAAATACCATGTGTTTGCCCTCACCCGACCGACCCGCCAAAAAGGGACCGTTTAAAAAAAAAATTGCATTCATCTTTTTTTTTTTTTTAACAAATTGTATCATTGTACATTATATAAATCTGTAGGCAATACATTATATGTACCAAGCAAAACAAACATTCAACATAAAAGGTATCTCCACACAAGCACACCCGAGCATGTAGACACCATGCTGAATTTGTAAAAAGACCCTCGCTCTAAAAAAAAGGTGACCTACCTACCCAAACTTTTCAGCCTGGGTCGGGTGAGGGCAAACAAAGATTTTTTTTAATTGTGGCCTAACCGTCGACTCGCTTGGCACTGTTCGCTCTGTAAACTCGTCATTGTCTCGAGTCTCTTTTTTACGAGGTTTTGCGTCCTATTCGTGTTTCCTAGTGAATGTGTACATGCACGTTTGCAATGTTGGTTTCCAACTCGCCGTCTTGTCCTGATCCTTTTGGCATTTTCTCTTATGAATCGTCATTTTCAGCTCGTCCTCAGAACCTCCAACTGCTAATATAAAGCCAATCGCGACGCCAGCTGCTGCCCAAAAGCATGCCGCAGCAGTGACGTCTGTGTCATCGGGCTCCTCCAAGGCAGCCACGCCCACTGCCAGTATCCGACCAATGGCAATCAGCAGTCAGCAGACGCCTACTGCAACGGTGATGCCAACACCGTCGTCTGTTGAATTCCACGAAGAGCAGATAACTGGTAAGTACAGCTCATGCCACTCGACTGTGAAAATAATCGGTTCCCATAACTTATATATAACTCCATTAGTGTGAGATTTTACAAATACTCAAACGTAAACTTAAAATTTTATTTATTAACTTGTTGTAGGCATTGCACTTGGAGTTGCAAAAAATGCGACACATAAATAGGATTATTTTGTGTATTATCGTAGTTATGCAATACTTTGAAATGATAAACGCGTACCTTTCCTAGGTCCCCCAACTATAAGCCCAACACCTCGGCAGGCAACCGTGCAGCCTACCCAGGCTCAGGCTATTCCAGCAATTATCATCACTCCCCACGTGGAGGAGGAGGAGGTCATAGTGCAGGTTCATCCACCACCAGTCGAACACCAGGAGGTTGCGCAGCCAGCTGAAGTGCCTGTTGTATGTGGCATTGACTTAACTTTCACTGTACCATATTACAAACGATCTATAATTCATTAGCTGTGTAGCAACCTTTTCAGAATTTCTTGGTGTGTAATGATCAAATTTGTGATTTTCACATGATATTTGCATCCAAAGTTTCCACTAGAGGGTATTCCTGAGCACCATCACCACCAGCAGCAGCAACAGCAGTCACAACCACAGCAGCAGCAACAGCAGCATGACCAGCCTGCTGTGTCAGCAACAGAGCCCTCTAGAGGCCAAACTGCAGGAAAACGGCCAAGAGAGCAAGAGATAGCAGATACGACTGTGGCGACAGAAGCTGCTTCAGGTAAACCTCACACGCTGGTATTAAACGTCATCAACCCTATTATAGATAAAAACTGACCAAGCAATTAGTATTTTTACTCCCCTTTTATTTAAGGTAATGTACAAATTGTGCCGGATGAATAATTGTCATAATTTTGCAGTTGCACTCTGATTACTCACTAACACTAATGAGTTATCCATTTTTCTAATGCCACAGAGGAGGTACCAATTAAACGAGTACGGGCTGAGGTTGAAACAGAGGACAGCGCTAGCCAAGGAGCGGCTGACGAAGAGTTTACAGAGGGAGAGCTGGGAGAGGCAGAGGGAGAGCTGGGAGAGGCAGAGGGAGAGCTGGGAGAGGCAGAGGGGAACGTCGAGAACTAGACAAGAGGGAGATAGTCCGCCGGCGCGCGACTTGGAGAAGGAACTTCAATAGTTCACGCGCGAACGTGAGTCGTCCACCATGACAGCAACTATCAGCACGCTGACGCAGGGAGACTTGACCATAGCTCAGTATGGAGAAGCTCGCCGCGCCGAGCACGGACGCCGAAAATTCAAGGGTCCAGGCGAGACATCCTCAAGGTTCTGAGGTCGCAATAGCCGGCTCGTGACGGAGCGAGACGCGGGGCGCGCGAAACAGCCGAGCGACAGGCGTGCTGCTTGCCAACCTGCAGACGCTCCAGAACAACCTCCGAGCGGCCCTCAGAGCAGAGACGCGCGCCGGCTGCACGACCAGGTGAACCTGACGCGACGTGGCGCTGCTGCGCCGCCAAGCACGACCCTGCGACAGTCGCGCCACTGGCCCGCGCCGCCGCAAGGGGCTGCGACAGCCAGCGACTGAAGAGACCTGAGTCCGGCCAGCTCAGAGCGAGCTCGTACGCGCACCAGAAGACGCCGAGGACCGCACCGGCGACACCGAGCCGCTCGCGAAGCCTCAAGCAGCGACTGGTGACGCCCGATGCTCAAGCTGCCGCAGCGAGAGCCGGCTGTCGCAGCCGAAAACCTGAGCCGCAGATCGGCCGCCAAGGAGCGCAGCCTGGAAGAGGTGTCCGCGCAGCTTGGCGGCGGCGCAGCAGGAGGCGGAGGGGGCTAGTGCGCCGCGCCAGCCTGACGCATCGCGACTCCGCAGCGTGCCGATCAGTTACCGCGCCATCGCCGACAGCGCGAGGCGAAGCCTCGCCGAGCCAGAGAATCGAGCAGCCGCACTCTGCAGGCGGCTGTCGAGTCGGTGTCGCCGAGGCCGCGCGGCGAGCACGACCCTCGCGCAGCGGCTCGCGGCGACGCAGCGTGCAGCACGATGCCCGCGCAGAGAAGGCAGAACGCGTGCCTGCTTCGAGCAGAACTCGACGGCATGGCGGACCTGCTGGGCGTAAGCTCGTCCCCGCAGAAACGAGGCTCGCCAGTACGCTCGCTCAGCAGAAGGACCGCCGGCGCTGTGGAGGGCGCGCGCGACCTCACCGCGCAGGCGGGCTCCGCCCGACCGCAGCCGTGAAGTACGGAGGCGCAGCTTGTGCGCACGCCGCGACGGCAGAGCCTGACGACGTTTGCGCGAGCAGAGGCTCGACGGTGATGACGCGCATGCTCTTGTGACTCTTGCCCGCACCCCGAGGACGCAGCCGCAAAGGCCGAGCGAAGACGCTGAGCCAGCAAGCAGCCTTGCGGAGCAGCCCGACAGGCGCGCGCCGGAAGAGCGAGTGCGCGCAGTTGCGAGACGCCGCAGCGCGAGCTGCAGCAGCACAAACGAGGTGCTGCCACCGCACATGGAGACGATGTCCACGCAGATTGCGCGCGGTACGAGCCGCGCGCGGAGCGCCGACACGTCGCTTTACGACACGCTCGACATGTCGATGTCGGCCGACGACGGCCAGAAGTCGCGGAGCAGCTGCTCGAATCCTGCCGCTACCGCGCCGCGGAAGGCTATGTGCGACGACACAAGCACAGTAAGGGCGCGCGCTGGACGCGCGCCCAGAAAGGGCGCGCGCCGCAGCTCGGCGCTAGCCAGAGCTGCGAGTGTGGACGAGCCATCGCCGAGGGACGCGTCGCTGGCTGGATCGATGGACGCGCGCCGTGTGTGGGGTGGTGCGTGACGGTGCCGAGCCACGCCCTCACTCATGGAGGTAAGGCCGAGACACTGCCGTGACTAACGTGCTCGTCCCGACACAACAAAGTCTGCTGCGCGACAGAAGGACGCCCCCCCCCCCGCCTCCACCGATGCAGGCCGCAGAGCAGCAGAGCGCCGCTGCCGCCCGAGGCGCCGAGCTGCTGCCCTCACAGAAGTCGCCGTGTTGGGAGGCAGCGCGACGCTGCGCCACGCGCTGCAGACGCGAGACGCGGCGCACTCGCGACGAGGGAAGCCGCTGGAGACCGCACAAACCAGCTGCTCGGCACGCAGCACCAGGTCACGCCGAGGAGTACAGAAAGCTCGTCACGAGACGAGAAGCAACGCCAAACAGTTCCTCGCGCTCATCAGGAAGCGAGCGGCACACAAGCATGACCGAGAGCGTCGCACGCGCAGCGGGTGCGCGCTGCACCGCCGACGTCGCGGCGGGCTGCAGCGTCGCCGCCGCGCCGAGAATCACTGCGCCCCGTCGCGCTCGGAAGCACAGCGCCAGAGCCTGAGGTGCGAGCAGGCAGAGCAGAGGAGGCCGCACGCTGCGCAAGAGCTCGCGTCCCGCCGCCAACGCTGCGCGTCGCGAAGGCTGCGCAGCGATCGGCTGGCGCTGCGCGCGAGTCGCCGACAAGCAACCAGAAGATCCAGAGCCGAGCTGAAGCAGCTAACCAGGTGCGCAAGATCGCGCGAAGTACAAGACGCAGTTCGACGAGCAAGCTTGCGAGTACGAGAACGTACCCGATGTCGCAGTGACGAGAATGTGGCGGCGGCTCGCGTCGCGGAGGAGCCGCGCCCCGCGGCGGCGCCCAGGCGAGCAGCAGAGGCTCGAGCTCGCGCTGCAC